CCTCTATGGCTTACAGGCGGTTTCACTAGTACAATGCTGCAATGTTTCAGTCGTCAGCCACTGCAGAGGAGGGTTCAAATCCAAACAAAAACCTGCTTTCATTTGGAAAAGAAAAGCAAAATAGGTTAAGGTTTCTGTATGATCTTTTAAAACGTATTAACAGCTTTAGTGTTTAAAATACACTGTCGTTTTGTACAAGGTCAGAATCAGTAAAATAGATTTTAAAATGGAAGCGTGCCCAGGCTTCTGGTCCTCTGCATTTGGCGTTAATTTATGATTAAGATAGTTGCCACTCTTGCATGTCTGTGGTGGCTAGAGAACCTAATTTTCATTTACTTTTTTTTTTTCTAAGAAGGAATCCATTTATTAAGTATTGTGAATTAAATTCTCGTCTGTGAGAAGCTTTTAAATAAATCCTTTATTTTGAAAGATACTTCTCTGGGTAATGGTGTTTTTGAAACATTGTTACGCTGTCTTTGGATAGTCCCTATGTTTGTTTTGGAACATGGGCTAAAGTCAGTCTTACGAGGTAGAGACAGCGAGCATGTTGGATTTTGTTGTTTGTTTTTGTTAAACATGTAAAATCCCTAGGAAAGGATGCAAGTCAGACCTGCTTTGCAGAAGGTATCTGGAAGCACAAGAAGGTTTCACTAACATCATCTTGTGTTGGACAGGACTGCCTCTGATAAAGGCAAAATGGCTTTCAGTAAAGGATACCGTGTCTATCACAAGCTGGATCCACTTCCATTCAGTGTGATAGTGGAAACCAGAAACAGAGAAGAATGTCTCATGTTTGAATCCGGAGCTGTGGCTGTCCTCTGTAAGTTGATATGTTTTGATAACTACAATGTAAAAAGTTGGCAGACTTGATATTGTGTAAGCTGTTTATTTATGGAATATAGAGAAGCAGCTATTCTGTTTTCTTATTTGCTAATGGAGAGGCTTCTGGTTTAAATGAGAAAAAAAAAAAAGACATTTTCATGCCTTCATCTGTTGAGAGAGAATTTTACACATTTAATTACATTTCATCATGCTTATATATTTTCGTGTATACTAAATTTTCTCCTCCTTACAGTTTCCAACACCATCTGCTTATTTGTTTGGTTCTGAACAACGTTCTCCTTTTTGAATACATGCTAACTCATTGAAAAGCTAATTCTCTATGTTGTGTTTCATAATAAAAAATTCTGTGTTCTTAAATGGTATATCATCTTAATTTGGTTTTATTTCATTTTGTATCATGATTTTTGAAGGCTTTTTGATTTTTGGCTTTATTTTGTCCCTGTATTTTTAACCTATCTTGAGACTCTGTATTGATTTGTCTTGTAATAAAATGAGTAATATTTGGAGCAAACTGTCTTCCACTGCAAAGTTATTTTTACGTGTTTTCAGGGATAAATGCATTAAATGTTTCTCTTAAATTCTTTTTGCCCCCCTCCCCCCTTTATTTTTTTTAAGTCATAGTTGAAGGAGGACACTAAAATGACAAGTGCAGAAGAGATCTGTGAAACCCATAGATAGGGTTTTAAAATGTAGTTTGGTTTGTATTCTTCAGAAAGTCTGAGCACCTGGTTGCACGGGGTTTCTAAGCTTGTTTTTGACTCTCGTAGAAAGCTTTCATACTGTGGAAGTATTTTTTTCTTTTTTTAGTCAATAACTCTTTGATTAATTCATTCTGATGCCTGTTTGTGGCTTTCTAGCCAAGCTATTCTGAGCACCCGATCAGAAAATGGGAGATTTGATTCACTGCCTGAAGTCTGAGTGGACTGAAAAACCTGCCTTTCAGGAGGATGCTCTGGCTTTGAGACTGGAGTAGGCTGAATGGGGAGTGTGTTCTCTAACAAGACTCAAGAGTTAGAAATGTGATTTCCGAAGAAGAGTGGGACTTGAGATACGTTTCCTTTCTTCAGTATTTGCGATTGGCTCTCCTATATGTGGGTGTGCTCCTTGGCAGTGGCATGACCTCTTTCTGGGGCACCTGGCTGTCCCTGTATCCTATCTAAGGTACTTAGAGTTAGGCGATAGAGTCATCTGTACTGGACTGGCTGTCTGAACAAGTGCTCTCTAGCATGCAGCTTAATCCGCATCTTTAGTGTGCGATTAGAACAAGCTGCCATAAACTGTTAGAGGCCTAGCAATAGGCCATGCCGGTATAATTGACGTTATAGCTGCAATTGTATGATGATCCAGCTGAAAAACAATGAGTGCTTTTCTCCTGTTTTTGAGTATTTTTTTTTTCTGATAGAGTTTCTTCTTACTATGTATTTAAGTAACGTCATTGACTTTGCCAGCAGTATTTAAAAGGCATTGTGTAGTGTGGAGTGGATTAGGAGTAAGTGTCCAGTCATAAAGCTGGTGAACAGGTTTAGTGAAATCTGTAAAATGGGGAAAAATGCTTTGAAGATTTGTGGAAAACTTTATTTTAGCATGTATTTAGTAATTACTGAACAAGCTTAAGCTACTTACGGAGAAATGTATTAAAAATAATTTATTCCTGAAAATTATGCTCAGAAAGGACAGTAAGTTAGTCACTTTTTGTGCTGTGATACACTGCATACACCTGGATAAACTTTCTTCTCTAAAAATTAAAAACCATGTCAAAGTTCCTGCCCTTTTCTATGCCTCATGTTGTTACCAAACAGAGGAAGTGGAATCTGAAGGAAGTTTGAAAACCTCTCTCCTCTTGGCTTCTGTACTTAGTAATAGTGTGTTATTAATCTGTAAAGGTTTGTCCTTGGTATTCTAATTGGTATGTGACAACATAGTAAACATTCATATTTAGCTAGAAGTGGTTACTCTAAATATTGTTTTCAGTAACCTTAACTGGTAAACTGCTTACTCTTTTTCTGTCTGGCAAATGGGCGTATTTTCCTGGTGCGTATTTAGCTGCGGCATTTTGCTTTAATTCCCTCTTTGCACCTAAACTCTTTAGGTACTGAAACATGATTCTTTTGTTAATAGTTGAAAGATCACAATCATACCCTTGAACTGCCAGGAGAAAAAGTGCTAGAGTTCCCTAGCTCAGGACTTTTTTTTTTTTTCTTCCTTTTTTTCTTCTTACTGTTTGCTTCTGGTATATATTCTTTTTAATATGTATTTAAAAGAGTACAATTATTAGTGCTTGGAGAAGATTTGTAAAGTATTAGTCCTCCATCTCTCTAGTCATGTCACAGAAACCAGTCAAAAGATTCTAACCTGTAGCCGTACAAACTTCTGGATGTTGGTACAAATCTGAAAACCAAAGTTAGTGAAAGACTGGGTCTTGGGGAAGATTCCCCAGATGTTTGTAAAATCTGTGTGAATAGATAGAAAAAAGAGTAAGTTCAAGTAGGTATCAATTTAAATCCAGAACAGCATCGCTTTGAACTGTTAAAAACTCCTATTTTTTGCTGATGGTGCCAACACTTCTTAGACTCTACAAAAATTGACAATACTGATCCCAAACTGTTAGACATTTTTCAAAAGATTTTAATAAATACTGAAGATAAAGTGTTCAGCCTTATACTCGATTGTAGTTCTTTCCTGTATGTAGAAGGTATAATATAGGCACAACCTAGTGAAATACACTTTACCATTAAAAGTGATTCAGATGGTTCAGTTCTGAGCACCATAGTGAACTGCATCTTCTGGCCTATCCATGTGTAGAAATTTGGATTTTAAATGGGCTATGAGAAAAGAATGAAAGCTTACTGATGCTTTAAATGTCACCTTAAAGGAAGTACATCTATCATTTTGCTCAGGGAGGGATAAGGGTATTAACCTTCATCTCCTTTACATTCAGTGAAGCATTGCAAGATGATTCGGAGGCTTTAGTTAGGCCTCTGTATGAAATACTATACAACTCATATGTTGTGTGATCTTTCAGCATGTGTTGGATCTGTACTGAATCTGTTATTCAAGTCAACAAAATAAGATGGAAGAAAGGAAGAGGGTCGAAGGTATGGTTCACAGAGGTGTTTGTTGCATAATCATTCAGTCTTAGCGTGGAAGCAGCCCAAGCCACGCTTCTGCTAGAAGTGTTCTATGTACTGCTTGTAATGTGGGTTAGCTAACGTTACTGTGACCAGAACATCTGAGAAATATTTCGCTTGCCTTTATATATGTAATACCTCTTTTATTGACTCACTCCTAGTGTTGGGTTAGCCTAAGATACTGAAGTCTGAGGGGATCCTGCCAAGTTGCTTCTCAAGGCCTTGTAGGAGCACTTATTTTTAAATGTCAGCAGCTTCACTGCTGATTTGTTTAGAATTTAGTGGGAGGATGTCATAGATCGATTTTGTCTTATTTGACGTATAAAATAGACAGTATATTTATTCTTTGAAACAGGACTCTTTAATGAGATATCTTACCTGTAAAGATTTCATTGACTGCGCAGGAGGGTGTTCTCTCTCCCTATTCCTCTCTGGTGAGTCATAACAAAATGAGTGGGAAGCTGTCTTTACTCCTGTCGCCTGCGATGAGTAAAGGAGAATGTTCTGTTGAGTAAAGGAGAATGTTCTGTCATCTGGGAAAATACTGAGCCCTGAGTGGACAGTGCAGGAGCTTCGTGCCCATCCTTTGGCTTCGATCTTACGGTCAAGCTGAGAAGAAAGCAGGTGTGAACAGGAAGAGGCACTATGCCCACTCTGAGCTTTCTGTAGAGCTAGATAAAGTAAGAAGTGTAATAACCTGTGTGCAGCAGGCATCCTGGTATTCATAGTCATGTTTAGCAATGCTACTCTATCACCCATTCACATTCCAGTTCTTTTTGAAAAGAAAATTTTTCCACACTGCGTTCTGGGGGATGGAGGGGGAAATCAGATACGCTATTATCTATCCACAGTAGCAAATGGGATATAAAATTTTTTCAAGAGATTTTAAGTTGATATGGTGCATGGGGAAACTAAGACACCCAGAAAAGAAACATACTGACAGATACATTTGATGAGCACCTGCTATATTATTAAGGAGGGCAACATTCTGTATGCTCACAACTAGAGTTGGTTTTTTTCTTTAGTGTTTGCTGCCAGCAGTAATAAACTGCCATTATGTGATTCTCCCCACCCCCTCGATAATGTTTATACGGAGTTTTGAGTGGAACCCTATCCCCTTAACTAGGGAAGGCGAATATTTCAAAATAAATTACTACATTCTGTTTTTCATGATGGGATCCTATAAAATAAGCTTAATATAAATATTTTCCTGTTTTATATACATATATAAATGTACAATAATAAGAAGAATTAAAATTCTTCAAGCAGTAATTTGTCCTCTAGAAAGTGTCTTTATGTTAGGGAGGAAAGGTTACATATAGGCTGTGATAGAAGCAATTTTTGAATGTATTTTGATGTACTATTATATTCATCTGAAGCCAATTTGAAGGGACTAGGATGTAAAGGCAAACAGCGCTTTCACCTTCCTGTCTTTATTACTGTTTTGACTAAGTATTGTCTTCTGGAGTGTGCCTTCCCATTAAACAGTATCTTAAAACAGTTCAGAAGCTGCAGGAAAACAACAGCTACAGTGGATGCCAAGGGCAGCTGTGCTGGTGGAGGAGGCTGTAACCTGTCTTCCTGTCATCGGGTGCCTTTCCTAGGATTCTGCCAGAATTCACTCTCCTTTCAAATCTACTGGGAAGATGTCCCACTCTGCTTTCCTGGCATTTCCAGCAAAATCACGTGGTTAACAAAGACCACATATACTAGCCTAGCATACTCTGAAAAGTACAAGAAGTACAGTAAGAATCTTCCCAGGAGGTCGGTGGAGGCAGGAACTCTTTGCTGGGAGGACTATGACCTCTTTGAATGGCATGATGGATCTGCAAGAATTTGGTCCACAGTT